GTAAAAAACAACAAAATCACCAAAAACCAAAAAAAAAAAAGAAAAAAAAGGAAAGGAAAAAAAGAAAAAAAAAAGAAAAAACCCACACCAACACCCCCCCCCAAAACCAAGAAAAGTTCAAGAAAAAGAGGGGGGAGATTTAAAGAAATTGAGTCAAGAACTGGTGGGGGTGATAGGTTATCTTTGGCTGTGCTCACTAATGCGCTATCCTCACTTCCATTTCGCTACTGAATTTCATATCTCTTTTCAGTCTTATATTTTTTAATCGTTTTTTTCTGTCGCTGCTCTTAACCCCTTCATGTTTATTCTTTCATGGATTCATGAGATGATGGGGTTTCATTCTCATGCTGTGAGATTTTTCTTTTCTTTTTCTCTCTCCCTCTCTCTTGCTTACAAGCCTAAAAGAATCTTTTAAACCAACAAATAAAAAGAACATTTATTTTGGAAGAGCTGGGAAGGGGGGAGGACAAGGCAATTATTTGGGAGGGAAGGGGCAATGTGGGGCTATGGGAGGGGGGGAGGAGGGAACTTATCAAAAACAAGGCACATTTGCAAGATGCCTTTTTCCACCTTCAGGAGTTTGCAAGCTGTTTTTCCTGGATGAATGTGTGTGTGTGCGGCGTGTGTGTGTGTGTGTGTGTGTGTCTGTGTGCACATTTGTTGATACAGATGTGTGTGTGCAAGCATGTTTTCTGGGGAGGGGAGCTGGGGAGGGGGGTTTTGTAATGTCTTTTGTAGAAAGAGAACACAGATGTCGTTTAACTGGCAGTGTTTTGGGGGGAATAGCAGGGGTTTGTTTGCTCATTGCAACTTGGTGAGGTTGGAGGTCGGAGTCCCAGCTCGCATTACAGAGACGGAGCTGGGGAGGTAGAGTGTGCAAATATACACTTACTGAGGAAAGAGAGGGATTTGGGGATCAGTAATGGGACAGTGCTGCTGTTCACCACTGGCCTCTGATCTCTAGGAGACCAAGCTGATTCAGTCCTCAAAGGAGGGGTTGTTCCTAATCATTCCCACCCTGCATCTTTCTTACAGAGTTTGGAAAGAAAAGGAGTTGCAGGATTCTGAAAACTTAACCCTTCCCCCCTCTACCTGTTCCTTGTGCCAGACAATGGACTCCACTCTCCAGCCACTGCGTGACCATAGCTTACATCAAGGTTCGGGAAAGGGTGGATGTCATTTAACTTTGTTATGCTTCAGGATGAAAAAATATGGAAATTGCAATTACCCCCTTTCCTAAGAAGTTCAGAAGCAAATGGTGGGTTGGCACCCTCTGATCTGTACTGCTTCTATCAGGCCTTGTTTTATGTCTGTTAATACATGTAGAGTGTTGAGAAGAGCACCCTGTGCCCTTTCTTGCAGATGTAGCTAAGGATGCAGTAGAGTTCCATGGAGCATCATCCCACTGAAAGACAGTGATCTTCAAAGACTGGGCAGGTGAATGAAAATGCTGAGCTTGTTGGTGCTTGTGGAATCCCCTAGAGCTGTAGCAGCTTCCATCCACAGGTATTCATTATGAAGGTACAGAAGGGTAACTTGGCCTTAGACAGGAAGGTCAACTTTTTCCAAAGGAGCCAGTGACTTTCAGGAAAATCACTGATTTATTGGCCACTTTGGCAATCACTGACCATCGATAATCTCCCTTATATTATTAATAAAAGCCATGAAAATTATGAATTCACAAGTGCAAAACTTTAACCCTAGGGTCATTCTGCCATTCCTGGAGTAATGATGAGAACCTTGTTCGTACCTGATGGAGTTTTTTCCTACTGGACCCACATACTCACACTGCCCTTTATCCAACCATCCCTTTGTTTTCCAGCTAGCATTCTTTTCTTTTTTCTTGATTCCCATTGCTTGGAAGAGCAGAGTGATCCTCTGAGACCTGGGAAACTCTTGGGTTTCAGATGACAGATGAATATAATGCACATCTTTCATTCACTATTTTATGTCTGTATAGTGCTATAAAAATGTGAATCACTATAGGCCTGACCTAGTAAGACTGAAGTCATGAAAAGTTTTGCCTTGATTAGGCAGGATTAGGCCTTATCAGAGTAATAAGTATTGTTATTTTTATATCAGTAATGTGTCTTATGCAGAATCTGAAGCATAAAAAATAGAGCATCCATCCTACCCAATTACCCCAGTTTCTGTCTCCCTCTCTCATGTTCATGCATGTACACATTTGGTCTGGGCCTCCCTGGACTTACCAAAGTTTTAGCACAATTGTTAAATCAGTCTTAGATTCTCCACTGCCCTGCAGAACAGTCTCTTGCTGATTTCTACATTCTAAAACAATGCTGTTATAAATGGGTTTTCCCAATATTATTGCAGTTTATGATCTATATGGATCTGTATAGGAATAAGAGTCTGGATCATGACTAGAGCTGGATGAGAGGGCTAAGACTGGATCGAGTAGTTGTGACTACCTGACACACAGGAAGGTAAAGCTTGGCCAATGGAGAAAATTATGGTTTCTAGTGGGATTCTAATTGGAAATATCTTTTAAATGTTGTAATGAAAATCATAAAGTTGTTTTATGATATCAGCAGTATTATGTCAGTGGATATATGCATGTCATGACTGCAGTTCCAAGGTGGACACTGCCTATCAGCAGGTTCAGTTTTTAAGGGGAGTCTAACCAGCTGATTGATGATTAAATAAAATATCTGAACACTTAACCTTTATATATATGATTGCAATGTAAAGGGTGGTCAGAACAATAAAAGTAGGAAAAGAAAGAGGCAGTTATAAGAAGCCTGTTAAGACTGGAGGGAAAACAAATGGCTGTGTGGTAAGAAATTATGAAGCTGAGGGAGATGACTCAGGAACTCCAGTAACTGAACAGTTGTAGTAAAAGTCTGACAAATGTGTGGCAGGAGTTAGGCTCCTGAGAGCTCTCTCAGCTGGTCCCAAAGACTGGCAGGGTCAGCAGCACACAGATGAAGCAAAACCCACCAATGCTCTTTGCTTCTTGGGTGCTGATCCCCACACAGAGTGGGGTCCTGACCGACGCCATCCAGTGCCCTGCAGGTACAGCCAAGGGCCTTCAGCAACTGGAGATTAGGTGCAGAGGGGCCATGTTTAGTACTTGTGGCTTCAATCAGAGATTGAGCCCAGAATTTCAGAGTGACAATCCAAAAGCGTTCCAGGGAAAAAGCACTGCTTAGCCGATTTCTTCACCTGCTGGGACTGGGAGCCAGACTCCTTTGCTATTGCCTCAGTTCTCTGTTGGCTGAGTTCTCTTTCTTATCAGGAGTCATCCTAGTTTTTTCTCTTTGAATGTTTCTGACTTGGTATTACCAGGTTGGTTTTACTTCATAGAGTCAGTATATTCAGACATCTGGACTATTTGGTCCGACACAATAATCTTTGCCAAAGAGTGTGCGGTCAGGACTTTTCACAGTTCAGGAACTGCCTTATAATTTCTGATGATGGGGCAGAATGCCGGAGAACAACAGAATGTCCTGTGAGTCAGATGAGTAATAGAAAATGTGTTCTCGTATAGGGGCGAGGGAAGAATGCTGAAGGCCTTTAGAAATGCCCTCCTCTAAAACTGAGGTAGCACGTCTGTGTCCCCCCTCCACAGCTGTCTGCATCCACCCCTAAGAGAAGCAACAAACCCATGTCTTGTTTTGAGGTCAGCAATCCAGAAAGGAGACAGCAAAGAAAAAAAGGCATTTTAATCATACTCAAGGCTCAGAGGTTTCAAGCCACTACAAGCATGAGTGTTATTGGAAAGGCGGAGGGGATTTCCACGCTGCATCTTGCATGCCCGCTGCTGTCCTCCTTTTCTTCCTAAAGGGAGAGCAGTGGGAAAAGGGGAGGAAAGAATGTGAGTGCTTCTGACTTTTGCTGCAGTGGTGCAGAAGGCAATTATCAGAGCTTGGTTTGTTGGCAGCTTGGGGCAGGATTGCTGCTCGCTGGGTCATGTTTTTCAGCAGACGCTGCAACTCAAACATGAGGGACACTCTAGGCTGCCTGAGGGAGATGGGCTGGGGGAGAATGTTTTGCACCTTTCCCATGCATAACAGCCTTAGGCAGGCATGTGAAAGAGGAGAAGGAAGGGCAGAAATAGAAATGAAATCTCTCTCAGGATATACATGGCCAACGCAACTCTATTGCTTCATTTTCTGATACTGTATCACTCAGGGACCTTTAGTAACTAGGACCTTGGGACTGTAATTCCATCTGTGTCCCTCCTATTCCCCCTTCACCTTGAGTATTAAGAACTGAAAAGACAATGAGAGAAAATGTGAAAGAGGGAAATAAGGGCCCTGCTAGCAAACCCCTGCTATTCCATGGGTGAAAGTAAAGCTTTGGTTACTAAGGTAAAAGGAAAATGTATACCTTTATATTCATGTCTTCAAGCATAAACCAGCCAGTAGTGTATATAGGATAAGTTCACAGTGCATGAAACAAACTGGACTGTAGGTTTTAACTGGCATCCAACTTTCTTGCATGCACATCTGACACCACGCCAGCAGCTTATGTCTTGCAAATAAGTTGGGAACCTGCCAAGGCTTGGCACTTCCTCTGTCCAATGGACAGCACATCCACTTCCCAGAAACAGAGCCAGGCAAGGAATGGATCTGCCCAGTCTGTTTGACCAGATCTACTCCAGAGGCTCTGGCAGAAGATAAGGGGTGGGGAAAGGAGTTGGTTTTTCCTTTATTGTGGGGAGGAGAAAGGGCCTTAAATCTCTCAGTTGTTTTCAGACAGAAGAGAAACTTCTGGAGCTGCAGACCAAAGGACAGCAGCTTTAGGGAAGGTGGTGACTGAAA